CTGAGATGAAGTAAGAAAAAGAAAACAAAGGAAATATGAACAAAAGAAAAAAGAAACTTGATGAAAACAAAAATGAAAATAGAAACGAAAAATACATCAGTGATTGTGGCGACAGAAATATGAAAACTTAAATTTTAAAACTTAAAAATTTAGATTTTATCATTGCTACATCTTCATGTTTTCCCTTGGTGCATAATTATAATCAATGTTTACGTTTTAGAGAATGAAAAACATCACATTGTTTTTTTCCACTTTGTTATTCAGTTACCTAACATTGTTCTGATACATAAAAATTCATGTAACCTGCTCAGCAACTTTGATATATTTCGCAACCAAACATCTATACTGGCTGCATCCAGATAGAAAATGAGTTCAACAGATATACAAAAAAGGAAAGGTGTGTAAGACAAGGATGAGTCTTCTCACCGGACTTATTCAACTTATACAGCGAAGAGATTCTGAGAGACCTAGAAGGCGTAACAGGATTCATTATTGCTGGCCACAATCTTAACAACATATGCGCTGTTTATAGCATAGAAAGAAAAGAAACAACAAAATCTCTTACAGAAGTTAGAGAAGGAAAGCGAGAAAAAGAACTAAATACCAACTGGAAGAAGACATAATGTATAATTGTTAGCAAAGGGATAAGCCTAAAGTGCGAAATAAAAATAGGAGATATCAAAACCAAACAAGGGCCGAAATTTAAATATTTTGGACGTGTTTTAACAGAGGACAGAAAGGGTGAAACTTAATCCGAGTCCGCATTGTGATAGCCAAAGATGCCTTCCAAAAGCTAAGCAGAGTATTAAGAAACAGAAAAAAAATCGCTACAAACAAGGACAAGAGTATTAAACTGCTACCTGATATCCATCCTCCTGTATGGCAATGAGTGCTGAACAATCTCCTCAAAGATGGAAGAGAGGCCAAGCAATAGAAATATGGTTCTACAGAAGGATGCTGAGTATACCATGAACCGAACGTGTGATCAACGATGAGGTCTTAGAGAAAATTGAAACAAAAAGGAAACTTATACTTAACATAAGGAAGAGACAGGTGAAATTTCTATTGAAGGTTGCTGAGGATACCATGGACGGAACATGTGAGCAACGACGAAGTTTAAGAAAAAATAAAAACAAAAAAGGAAACTTATACTTAGCATCAGGAAGAGACAATTGAAATTTCTACAGAAGGATGCTGAGGATACCATGGACCGAACATGTGAGCAACGACGAAATTTTAGAGAAAATGGAAGCAAAAAAGGAAACTTATACTTAACATCACGAAGAGACAGTTGACGTTTCTGGGTCACATTATGAGAAAAGATGGCTTGGAAAATCTGATACTCACAGGACAGATTGAAAGCAAGAGAGACAGGGGAAAACAAATCATAACATATTTAGTGAGCTTGAGTAAATGGATGGCGAAACAGGGTTTAAGAAAAAATAGCAGAATGAGAAAATTTATTAAAAAAACTATTAAAGAGACAGAACGTTGTGAAGTGCCATAATCGCCTACATCCTGAGGAGACATTACACATAAGGAAGAGGATTCACACGCATACGAATATAGTAAAAAGAAAGAAAACGATCATAATAAAGAAAGTTATATGGTAAAAGTCACTGAAAAGAATAATGAACAATTAGAATGAAAAGAATGAATGAAAGGAAAAAGAATTTAAGGAAGGAAGCTAAGAGAAAAAAGATTGAAGTGAAATGAATAAATTACGAGCGGACATATTTGGAACCGCTATTTTTTTTTAAAGTTTTAGCTGCAAACTTGCAAAACGTATCAGCAAAATGTGCTTGAACGTTGAACAAAGACGGGGGAGTGGGGAATGCAGTCATAATAATGACGGCAAATAAAAATAAAGCAAAATGTAGCGTCAATTAGAAATTTTTTTAAACACACACACACACAAGATTGATGGCAGTGACCTTTTATTACCCCCTGGTCACTACCTTGACACCCACTAAGTGAAATTAATATAATAAACATCAGTCTTGTTCATTAAAAAGCATATTCAATTATCAAAACGCTTCGATTGCTCCCAGATTTAACTCAAAATTTTTGCGTTCATCAGATTAGCCATCGGGGAAATATATATGCAGATGCAAACCTCTCTCTCTCTCTCTCTCTCTCTCTCTCTCTCTCTCTCTCTCTCTCTCTCTCTCTCTGTATATATATATATATATATATATATGTATTTATAGTTTGCGCCAAATTTAAGATGCGCTTTAAGGACTGCATCAAGGATGCGCTGAAGAAATGTAACATTCCTTGTGAGCACTGGGAATAATGTGCATCTGATTGCAATAATTGGAATGAGGTTGCTAGTAGTAGAAGGCGTCACTTTGAAGATGAAAAAAGAGGCACGCAAAGCTTAAAAGAGATGTGCATATAGGTGTCCCTGTTGTACTTCCTGAACATACTTGCAGGCAGCTCGATCTGACGTGTACAGATTGTAATAGGGTGTGTTTGTCGATTGCTGGTCTAAGGGGTCACTTGAGAGCGCACCCCACGGAAAGTGCCAACTGACTATAAAACCGTAGAAGCCCATCAATTGAAATGTTATATTTGTGGTAATATATGCGGGTCCAGAAGCGGTTTCATGCGACATTTTAAATTGCATGATAATGCATCACTCATTGTTAGACCTCTTAAGTTCTCTGTTTGTGCTAGAGTATGTAGGTCCCTTGCTGGGCTAAAGAGCCATATTCATTTAGCACATCGGTAGATATTCTCTAAAAAGTTATGTAGTGATGGCCGTACTCGGACACGAGTTGGCAACCACCATATACACCCCTGGTCAAAATCTTAAGACAAAAAGTGTTAAAAAAATATAAAATACTGTTACTTTAATCAAAATATATTTGCGAAACATTTACATTTAATTAGAAAATGTAATTTATCAACAAACAATTGAAAATTTTAAGCTTTTAATTGATTAATTTAAACATTGAAAAAAGGATTTTTTTCTTGGTTGGTCATAAAGATAAGACCATGCGTGAAAAAAAAAACAAATTACTGGACAAAACATTTTAGAACTAGTCAATGTGCTCATAGCTGAAGGCGTGTAGACATCTACGTAGTTCATTTCCAGTATTAAATAAATAATTTTAAAATGGCTAATGGTAAAAATTTAACAAAGTTCGAACAGGGCAGGATTGTTGAACTTCAAAGACGTGGTCTTTCGCAACGAGCCATTGCAAATAGAACTGGCCGTAGCAGAACTGTCATTGCTAACTTCATTAAACATCCGGATGCGTATGCTTCTGAAAATCAAGCGGTCACCCCAATAAAATTTCAACATCTCTAGACAGATGTCTGATCGTCCACAGAAGACTATTTTTAATGGTCATGTCTCCCCACAGCTTTTTTCTGCAATCTCAGTGAATTACCATAATTTTATGGGGAAATTAATGGAGTGGTTTCCCGTTGTCTCTCCTACGGTTTTGAATTCTATTCGAGCAACTTCTAGCCAGTGCTAGAGAGCCCAGTCTATTCAGATATTTAATCCATAGCTAGAAAGAAGTGAATGTGAACAAAATAACAAAGATGAAGATACTAGAGCCAAAAATGTGTGGAACAAGTACCCTTTATATTTTTATTGCAGCTTACAATAGTATCGATATTTTGATAGATTAGAATAGAAGATATAAAATGTATTTTTTAAATTAATTTGGTAAACGAATGACAAAATGGAAAATTGTACTAAGTAAATCTCCGACTAATAATGGTTTTATCGATGAAGTCAGTCAGTCGTATATATGGTACGGGGTGTGTAACAATTATTAACTTTCAATACGGATTTGATAGATTATAATTCTACTTATTCCTTAATTAGCGCGATCGATGCATCGATTATTCCGTTTTGATCGCAAGGGAAATTGGAAAAGACATATTAGAGAGGCTGTTTAGTCTCAATGGGAGAAAGAAAGAAAAATACCACATAAATAATCTACTATTCCGTTTTGATCGCAATTAAAAACAAAAAAGACATTAGAAATGCTGTTTGGTTTCAGTGAAAGAAAGAAAGAAAGAAAGAAAGAAAGAAAGAAAGAAAGAAAAGGCGATAACGCTCTCATAAGTTTAATGTTTCAGTGAAATTGAAAAACTTGTCACTTTTAAATCTTTTCATTTTTTTTTGTGATGTCAAGAAACACTCGTTGCCACTTTGTGATGCCAACAAATACTCGTTTTCACTTTTGTAATACTCATTCTAGTAGAGACTTTGTAATCGCAGATACAACTATAGTACGCTGTTGAACAATACTGGTGTCAGACGCCTTCGAATATCACTCGCACTAATAGTACTTGCTTGATAATACTCGCTCGAATAGTAATTCGTATAATGATCTGAATAGAGATATATTATAGAGAATAGTGCTCCGTATAGTAATAGAGAATAGACTAAAAATGGTGATCCATAGGGTAATAGAGGATAGAATAGAAATGGTGATCCGTATGGTAATAGAGGATAGAATAGAAATGGTGATCCGTAGGGTAATAGAGGATAGACTAGAAATGATGATCCGTATGGTAATAGAGGATAGAACAGAAATGGTGATCGTATAGTAATAGAGGATAGAATAGAAATGGTGAACATTTAGAAGTGACGCTACTTTCTACTTATGCGTTTCCCCATGGTCACGTGATCCAATTAATTCAATAATGGGATCGCCTGTGTTTGCTCACTGGAGATCTCTGTTCAAACTCAAGTGTCGGCAGCGACACTTTATTCCTATATAACACATTTGTACCCTCTTACTTCTTTAAATAATGACCTGTATTCATATGCATGATTGTTAGTGATAAGTTCAACTACTGAACGAGGCACGATTGGAAATTCCACGGCTGTTTTATAGTCGTGGAACTCACGATTTTATTCATTAAATGTTATCATACATCAGAAAGTTCAAACTGCAAAACCGTGAAATCAGTAAGAATACTTCTTATATATATTAATATATACAAATGTATTAAAATGAAGTGATGGGGGC